CCAGACATGGTATCTGGTATACACATCAAACAGAGATAAAAGAAACTATTACAATGGGTATTCAACATGAAACAACAATGTTATAATTATAATGAAAGCACTAGCATGGTAAAATTCTCTATACTTCAGTTAGGAGAGAGGAGGACTCTCATGTCAACGCTTTTGGTTTCAGTCCACAAGAATAAGAGAAAAAGCTATAATAATTAGAGAGCAAGGCAATGTTAGCAGCAATAGCACCAACAAAGTAAAAAATAATACAGTAGTCTCTGCCTAAGATCCAGGTGCTCAGGAACAAGGAAAATACGGGATCTTAGCAGATGCACAAAAGGGAAGAATCCACAATAATAACTCACGTTCAGGCTAACAACCGGTAAAAAGATCTCCACTTATTCTAAAATGAACTGACGTAACCCCTGAGTGGGTTCATGACTACTAACGGCGAATGAACTGACGTAACCCCTGAGTGGGTTCATGACTACTAACGGCGAATGAACTGACGTAACCCCTGAGTGGGTTCATGACTACTAACGGCGAATGAACTGACGTAACCCCTGAGTGGGTTCATGACTACTAACGGCGAATGAACTGACGTAACCCCTGAGTGGGTTCATGACTACTAACGGCGAATGAACTGACGTAACCCCTGAGTGGGTTCATGACTACTAACGGCGAATGAACTGACGTAACCCCTGAGTGGGTTCATGACTACTAATGGCGAATGAACTGACGTAACCCCTGAGTGGGTTCATGACTACTAATGGCGAATGAACTGACGTAACCCCTGAGTGGGTTCATGACTACTAACGGCGAACAAAGAGTGGTCAACCTTGATGTGTAATCACTGTGGCATAAAGGCATGCCATTTTCACTTACTATCCTATCCTGGGTCTCAAGATCTAAATGTAATTGCTACTCCCATTACCTGTTCAAAATTTATAACTTTCCATATCTGACAGATTTCTGTTGCTACGCACCATTGTGTTGTGACTCTTCCAGAGTGCTCTTTGAATGGGTCAGAAAATAATCTCGAGCCAAAAGAGAGAATAGAATATTTTCAGATCAGCACAAAAAACTTATTGGGTACAACATAGTATCTGGAAGTAAAAATTTCAGTAAAACCCACATTGGTAGCTGAAAGCTAAAACGAGAAATTTTATACCAGCCATCCCTGAAAATAACCCCTACATCCAATACCAAAGTGCCAAAAAGTAAATTGCTTATTAAATAAGTCAAACCAAAACTTTTATGATCTGAAACATTGAAACCAATGACATGTCTGTCTGTGAAATGATCTAATAGGGAAAGGGACAAAATGTTCAAAAAGGGAAATGTGTCACGACGTGGAGGAATCAGGCGCTCCACAATTTGGGGGCATATATATGGAGATATTGGTACATCATCTTAAAGCCTGTCCATTTGCCTTGCTTTTGATGGAAAAAATATCCATTTATCTTGTATACAAGTCAAGATACTGGCGATTGAAGAAATGGGGGTCGCCTTGTTTCAGAGGTAAATCAGCGAAAAAATGGATGCCAAATCTGGCTTATTTCCTGAGCTTGAAAGTCCGTGGAAACAGAAAATTTACATCTTTTATGCCTTTAATCAACGTTTTTCAGTAAAATCGACACAAAAATGTGTTCTTTAGTGGGCATGAACGTGTTGAGCCAAAAAACTAAATTTCCATAAAAATTCCCATACGGGCGGGAAAAATGTCAGTTTCTTCACTTTCATTATTTTGACGAGCACCTGATTTCACCAAGCTGCCTCACAAATTTATATATATTTATTTGTCTCCTTAACGAAAATGTGCCAATTTATTAGTGCTCAAAACCTGTAACTCACTGCGCTCCCTACATGGTGGGATCTTTTTAAAATTGTGGCCTGTTTTTGCAATATTGTGCTAGATATAACATTTCTGACAGTTTCCATTCATTTTTCTTTCTCTGTCAGTGACTGATATGAAAAGCACCCATGCCTCTTACGCAAGAAAATTTCAGTACAGTGGAGTCCGATGAAGCCGAACATGGTTTAACAGTTTAATGGGAAAATGGTGATAAACTGAAAGAAGATAAAAAGTACTCAATTTTTTTTCCCCATTTATTTGAGTGACCTCTCTACTAAAACTCAAAAATCAGCTTGCTGAAGAAAATCCTGCCGTCTCACAGGTTTCGGTTGAAGTGGACTTAAATGCATGATACCATCTGAGTTATAGAACACTCTTGTGTCGAGGAAAGGTATCTAAAGTACTCAATTGGTTTTTTTCCATTTATTTGAGTGACCTCTCTACTAAACTCAAAAAATCAGCTTGCTGAAGAAAATCCTGCCATCTCACAGGTTTCGGTTTAATTAAGTGGACTCCGCTGTATGGCAGCATTTTTTGCATTGCTACGCATTTACTATTGTTTTGCTGCTCTGATTTCTGTTTCTTGTTGTCTGAATTTTTCTTTTTCTGTTTTTTGTTGTTTGAATGTCTTTTTTTTTTGGTCTTTTCTAATGTGGAATAATAAAGTAAGGAAACGTGTATAGGTTTGGCAACCCAATCAACTCCAGTAAGTTAGTTAAGAGGCGGGACCTCTGAACTTACTATCCATCTCTGATAAGGCCGAGCCAAGTGGGTTGAGAGCCTTGAAAACTCCACGTATAACGACCCAAGTTTAAAAAAACCCACCCCGTTGTGAGATTTGAACCAGGGTGGTCCACTCCGT